GTGAGCTGCTACTCTGCTATTCAAACTGGAGAACTGGGCCGGGGAAAACACTGCAGCTCCCTGCGTTCGTTTGTGTGGCAGAGGGCGGGGAAATGAGGCCATTTGCTGTGAATTCAAGGAGAGCTCCATCTTCAGGGCCATGGTTTCACTTTCTGCTTTTGGCTCCCTGGAGTCTCACACTTGCCTGTGTACAGCTAATACATAGCTTTGCTAAATATTTGCTTTTCTTTGGTGGTGTCTGTGTTTCAGTGACACATGAAGAGATTCTGACAATATGGGTCTAAGGTATGCTGACACTTGTAATCAGAGAGTTGGGATTCCTAAGTGTGATGTGCTCATTCATACTGTTATTTTGCTGTATGGTTTCCACTAAGCTCACCAGAACGTTATCAGTCTCTTTACTTGCCTTTTGCCCTTTCAGATACTTGACCTTAAATATTCAAGGTTATAATTTATATTATTAACTAATATAATAATATAGCTGGTTGTGAAAAACTATTGTCAATCTCAGATCCAAGTGGAAAATTATATTCATTTAGTATTACCATTTCTCACTGCTGTAGTCGAGGAAAAAATCAAGGCATTTACACCCTTCTAACTAGCATTGTGAGTTTGCTCGTTGCTTTATTTACCGCTGATCCTTTGCCACTTTTACTTAATGGACTGCTGGACAAATGTTTTCTAGATGGATGAATGATCCTTGGAGGACAACTGTGGTTGCTTCCAGTTTGCATGAAGAAGATTGTTGATGTTGTCTATTTATAACTGTCTGGTTTATATAATGTGAAAGAGATCCCAAGACAGCATCTTTGCAGCCAAATTATATTAATGAGTCAATCCGAACAAAAGAAGAAAATTCATTTGGGTGTGTTTGGCATCTTTCAATTTGCTTTGTATATACAGTGCTCAGTCCTAGGTTTAAGGATTGATGTGCATCTTTTGACAGCTCTGAGGATATAAAATGGCAAATGAAAGCACAATACATATGATACAATGAAGGAAAGAATCAAGACCTACCGTTAAAGTGAAGAGCTGGTAGCCTGGAAAAACGGAAGTAAAGGCAAATATCTTTCAATAGGCTTTGCAGGTCTCACTCAGCACACCTGGGAAGATCAATAAAATTAAAAAAAAAACATGCAAATCCTCATCAGCAATGATAACTTTTGGTGAACAAAGGACAGCACTACATCTTACAGAAATGAGTTATTGGAAAGGAGCAAGACAAATACTTTGTAGATCAGTAAGCCATAATTCGGCTCATCCTTGACAAGGCTGCACAAAGCAGTAGGTGCAGTCACTGGAAGGATGAGGAAATACTTCCTCTTCCCACAGCTTCTCATGAGCGCCCTGAGCATCTCTGCTCTGTCATGGCTGAAGAACAAGAACGCTACTTCCAGTCCTGGTCTCTCCTTAATCTGAGTTTTAGACCGTTCAGGAGCAGTGACAACACTCTTGCTTTGACTGTGCTGAAATCCATAGAGCGTTTTGGGGACAAATCATGATGTTATTGCATATATTTGCATCCACTCTTTGGTCCCTTTATTTTGCAGGTGCGTCCTTAGGTGACAAAAAAGACTTGGGAATATCTAAGGCCTGATCCTGTTTTTCAAGCTATTTGCAGCTTTATCAGGGCAAAGGAACCTCTTCTGCTATACTGAGCTCCAAAGCTCTCTCTCCAAAGCTGCTGGCTCTCACAGAGGGTGTCCCTGGTGTTGGGAGAATGTTATGAGAGCCTTTCATTCAAATGCTGGGGAGATATCACGAGTTAAACACAAGGCAGAGCAAGAGACTAGAAAGCTCTATAAGGCATAGATCCATTTATAGCCTGTGAAGCATAGTGACCACCACCAAGCCGCTCCTTGTCTACCTTATCCACCTTATAGCTGAGAATGAGCTTTAGGGGGTAGGGGACGACTTTGCGGACGCTGTAGTTTCTCTAGCACGTTGGTGGGCTTGGGACCTGTGGCTTTTCCGGGGAACTGTCATGATCTTCCTTGTAGGTCATTTCCAGAGAAAAAGCAGCAAAGCAAATATGTCTTGTTAGGTGTTATGTTCCAAAATAATGTTCCAGTCCTCAATTACCGCTTGTCACTGCTCCACTTGCAGTCAATACAAAGCTATCAGTTGTCTTCCTTCTGCAAGTGGTTTCTCTTTTTTCATTTAGAAACAACTTAATTATAACTCTTCCTGAGTCTGGCATGAGGTAATTTTTTCTTTCCTCGTATTAATGTCTGTCATCTGCCCTTTTGTCTTGCTAATGATTCTTAATCAGTCTGCTGTAGCGGGTTTGGATACGCTACCTGGTCATGTCCTGGTAGGCAGTGCTGCAAGGTAATGCACCAATGATGTGATTCATTAGGAAAACTTCGTGTAGAAATAACCTGAACATGAGATTTAAAAGCTAGACACATTGGCCTGCCTTGTTACAAATAAAATGCTGTTCTTATTTCTTTAGGGTTAGACTGCAGCTTGGATTAAGCACTTCTGCAAAAGTGGAAGTGGGAATAACATTTGATTTGACTTCCTGAATTTTATCTCTGGGCATGAACGGACAAAACGGCAATGAGAAGAAGTTACAGTTTTCTTCCCCCTCAAAAGAAACTCTATTTTTCAAATGACCTGGGTTTAAAGGTGAACGCTGCAGGTGGTTCTGGCATAACTGTCTATGCCCAGACCAAGCCGTTTGGTGTGGCAGGAAAGGATTCTTCTTTAAAAAATATGTGTATATGTATTTGTATATATCTACACATATTTTATATATATGTATGTATGTATGTATGTATGTATGTATGCATGCATGCATGCATGCATGCATGCTTATGTATATGTACATATGTATATGTATCATATATATTTCAAAAGTGGCAGCCCTAGGGGAGACTCAGCAGTAAGTAGGGGTCAGAGCTAGAGGTGTGCTGATGCCCCAGCCTTCCTGACACGCTGGGAAGTTAGGGAGCATCAACAGAGAGGCCAATTTTTTGATGTTGTGCTGAATCAGAAGAAAATTATTGTCCCACAAAACAGTAACTGAGGTTTAATGCACCACGTTCACTCCATGGATTGATCTCAGACTAGTGTGACCCTGAGTAGACTTGTCCCTTTGGGACATAATCTGACCTTTACTGACTAAAGAACCACAGATGATGATAAATAGATCCTCTTACTGCCCAATATTTAAGATTAATCCTTTCTTTCTCTCTTTTAAAAAATAAAAAATCAAACTCAGCCACAACCTCATTTCCTTAATTTTTAAAGTAATTTGCGTATGATATATTATAAAAAAGCAAATTTAATCACCTTTTGATTTTGAACTTGCTTTTGTATAAACCTATCTGTTTTTGTTGTCTACTTGGCTTATGTGAATTAGCTTGGAAATCCACGCAGTGTTGCAGCCTCTGAATGATATATTATCTCTCTCTCATCCCTGTCAGCTTCTGCAGGCAAGGACTGGTTGCCACAGCAGTCTGTATTAAAGCCGTAGTTCTTGATGATGAACCCTCTAAAGTGTGAACATTTTTTTTTCTTTTTAATGCCACAGCAGATTCTCAAATTGTATTCTGTCTGTGACTCAGGTTCCAAATGCATCTTTTTGAATAATATCTTCAGGGTATACAGCTGTTGAAACGTCAAGAAGTGTGACAGTACATTCAGCTTCTATCAGTCACCAATGGATCTGACCTTTTTTCGGTTGACTGAAGTAAGAATCCTTTGTAAGCACTTTTGCACGTCTCCGGTGGTAAGGTTTCTTCCCCCTGCAAGGCTCTTTGGCTTTCAGTGGAATTAGACACCCTTCAAACTTCGCTTCAGCTACGATAATTTATCACAAACACCTAGGAAGTAAAAGGCACCTTTTTTTTTTTTTTTGTTCCTGAAATGAAGATCTTTCTTTCATTGTTGCGGGATTTGGGAGGTGGTATTGTTCAGGGTTTTCCTTTCCGTCTTGCTTGTCCATTTCCCATCTCAAATGTCAGCTGGTGGGGAAGGTTTTTGTTTGTTTGTTTCTTCTTCTGAGTGTAGTTTATCTCACTCATAGAATTGGATAACACCCACTGATGATAGCTGTGTTTTCTTATATTAAAAGCTCAGTTATTCATATAGATTAAGGCTATAGAAATTATTTTAGATACTTTTCAGTAAAGAAAATATGTGTTGGGGGACAAAAGAAAGGTCAGGATTTAGATGGTAAGAAGAACTTGGAGGAACTTTTTTTAGAGACATACTATGAAAATATAGCATTGTTAATAGAGTGAAGATAAGTGCAGCAATACCCAAACCCCCTGGAAAACCACATCCACAGTACAGGCTTCCAAAGCAGCTAGTGGGGTACGTCTTCCACGGTGCTGTACATTGCTGTTTAAATCCCCCACCTGCTTCAGAAAGTCCGGTGCTGCGGTATTACAAACGATG